GCTGTATTTATATCATTTTCAACACAGTCTTTTCCGTCCAGGTCCTCCTATGCCCCCTCTCCATTTCTTCTCAAATTCATAGCATCTTCACCTTTGATTTTTTATTGTTTTACATGTAACATTTTTTATTGATTTTTATTGAGCTCTACATTTTCTCTGCTCCCCTCCCTGCCTTTCCCCTTCAGCCATCCCCCAAGGTCTCCATGCTATATAACATTTATATTTAGTATTTATATATTTATATGTAAATATAAATACAACCTGCTGAGTCTTAGCTTAAGGCTGACCACTTGAAACTGGATAATCTATCAAGGGTCTCATTTCTAGAAGAAAACTGATTCTCCCTCTCTCAGTAGTCATTTCCTTCTTTTACAGCTTTATCTAGGGTTAGAACCCTGTGCTATTGCTCCCATCAATGCTGGCATGTCAACTGGTGGTGTCATTGTGCAGGTCTTGTTTAGGCAACCATCTTGTTGAGATTCACAGGTGCAGCCTTCCTATCATATAGGAGACACGATCTTACAGAAGATATCCTGGTTCTTCAGCTCTTTCAAACTTCCTGAGCTTTAGGTGTTGGAGTTATGTTATGGTAGAACCACTGGAGATGGGCACTTCAGGGTCAGTTCTCTGTGTTTGACCAGGTCTGGGTTTCTGTGATGGATTGTGTCTGCTGCAGAAATAGGGTTCTTTGATGAGGAGTGAGAGTCGCACCTATAGGTGGATACAAGAATACAGTTAGGAATTATTATGGCTTGGCAAAGTGATAATAGCAGAATATCCCCTATGGTACATGATCTCATCAGGTACAAGTAATTAACTAGTTTTACAGTACTAGACACGAATTTCCTTTTACTGAGAGGGCTTTAACTCCTATTGGTGACCTGTAATTTTCTTAATTTGATTGCATTCTTAAATGGTATTGGTATCATGGTAAAATTAGCTTAATGGAGTTAATTCACTTTAGGTTTACAGAATAATTTTAGAAGCACTGATATTAATTTTTCATTAAAGGTCTAGCAGACTTCAACAGTGACTCCATCTGGTCCTGGCCTTCTTTTACTGGAAGAACTTTTATAGCTGTTTCAGTGGTATTGTTCAGTATAGGTATGCAGTGGTTTGAATGACAAGGTCCAAGGTCCCCCATTGGTTCATATATTTGAATATTTGAACACTGAGTTATCAATTGGTGAAATAGTTTGGGAATCATTAGGAGGCATGGCATGGTTAGAGGAGGGGTGTGTGTGTGTGTGTGTGTGTGTGTGTGTGATTGTGTGTGCCTGTCCATTCGTCCATCTGTTTGTCTGCTACTTGAGGGTCAAAACATGAACTCACAGCTGTTCATGATACCATGCCCTTGCTCCAACATCATGAAATTTAACCATCTGAAACAGAAAGCCAAATTAAATGCACTCTTTTATAAGCTGCGTTGGTCATGGTTCTTAAACATAGAAACAGAAAAGTAACTAAGAGAAGCTCTGATTTAGTTGTTTATATGTTCTTGATTTAATTTTGGAATACTTCTGCGTTGAGAAATTGATTCATTTCTTGTACATTTTCCAGTGTATTAGGATGTAAATTTTCAAAGTGTGTCCAAATAATCCCCTGGATTTCACTGGCTCCTGTAGGAATCTCTCTTTTCATCACTAATTGTATTCATACGTGTCTTTTCTGTTTTATTTTGATCAGTTTGGCTAAGTTTTGTCAATTTTGTTTCACTTTTCAAGAAATCAACCTTTGTTTTCGTTTGTTCTTTGTGTCATTCATTTCCATTTCATTAATTTCTCCCCTGTTCTTCATCATTTCTTTCCATCTACTCCTTTGAGGTCTGGCCTTTTCTTGTCTCCCCAAGTCCTTAAGATGTATAATTATTTATTGATTTTTTTCTTATTGTTTAAGTTTATGTATCAGGTTCTGTGTTTTCATTCAACTTGAGGGATTTTAAAATTTGTTTTCTGATTCCTTCAGTAAGTTATTCACTAGTTTAGAGTATTTTTCTCCATAAGTTTGAATGAATTCTATATTTTCTTTTGTCATTAATTTCTAGTTTTATTCCATAGTAATTAATTATAAAAAGCTACTTCATTTATATTATTTTGTTATAATTTGTTTTGTGTCCCAAAATGTGGTCTTTTTTAGAGAAAGTTCCAAGGCCTTCTGAGAAGAATGTATACTCTACAATGCTTGGGTAGAATATTTTGTGGATGTCTATTAAAACCATTCCCTAATGTAACAATATTTAATACTCATTTCTTTATTTTATGGATGTCTGTTACAAACATTTCCTCTGTAATGTTATTTAATATTCATTTCTTTATTGTTTTTTGTCTTTGTGGACTGTCTGTTGATGAGAGTAGGGCATTGGAGTATTCACTATCATTGTGTTGAGGACAGTTTGTGTCTTTCCATCCATGTTGTGTGAAACTCAGTTTTCCAATGTTCTGTGATTATATGTTTAGGATGGTAGTAACCTGTTGCTGGATTGTTCACCTAATGAACATTAAGTGACCTTTATTTTTTCCCGAATAATTCTGAGGTCTATTTTTGTCAGATTTTAGTATTGTTCAACTGATAGCTTTGTTAAAACTTAAAATTAATTTTGAGACTTTCATATGTGGGTACTGCATTTGCATCAGTTCTACCTCCCCCTCTTCCATTTTTCCTGTGCTTCATACCACTCCCTCTCAAATTCATGAACTCTTTTTTAATTATTATTTTTAGATATATTATTTTTGCATATTTGCTGGGTCCATTTAATGCTACTTAATGGGTCCATATAATGTTAATACCACATAATGTAGGTATGTGACTAGGACTGATCCCTAAGGATTTGGAAATCCATTAGGGCTCATCTCTGGAGAAGACTGATTCTCCCTCTTGTCAGCAGTCATTAATTTCTTATCATTCTTATCTAGGTATATGATCTTGTGAAATTTTCCTCATCTATGGCAACTGGTGCTGCCTTCTTGCTGGTTTGCTCCTCCGTGTCTTTGGATTAGAGAGTTGGGATCATTGACATTGGGAATTGTTATCCAAAACTCTTTATTTGTTCCTGTCATTTCGTTATTTATAACACTCTTGGCTGTGTCATTAACCTCCATCTCTCATTCTCTGTTCTAACTCACTTTGTTCTGCTGTTTATAATAGTGTTTGCTATGTCCCTAACCCTCATCTCTCATGTTCTATTCGGACACTCTTATTGTTTAATCTTTGCAATTGTTTGATTGTTCTAATTCATCTATTTGTCAACAATCCCTGATAAGTTCTCTTGCTCTTGATCTATTCTCCTGCTGACCCTCCCTGTTGACAGTAAGAGCTGAGGGTCCTTTATTTGACTTATTGATATTTTTATTTCCAGTATTTCAATAAGATTTGTTCAGTACTCATATCCCTTTATTAAATCTCTCCTTCATACCCAGTATTGACTTCTTTTTTAATTAAAAAATTTCTTCTCTGCTCTTGCCTTCTTTGTTCACGTTCACCTTCCTTCTGCCTCTCCTTTGGACCTAGGGAGCTAGGTCCAGTGTTTCGACGTGGGTCTCCGCCTCCATCTCCCTCCATCGCCAGATGAGGGTTCTATGGTGATATACAAAATGTTCATCAGTATGGTTGTGGGCCAAGGCCGGTTCAGACACCCTCTCCTCTGTCCAGAGAACAATCTGGGGATCTCTCGGATCCCCTTTATAATCAAGTCTCTTGTAAACCCTAAAATGACTCCCTTAGTTGAGGTATTTACTTCCCTGATCCCATATCTATCCATTCTCCCTCCCCCTCATCCCAGTCCCCCGATCTTTCCCCATTCCTCCCCTACTCCCTTCTCTCTAACCCTCTCCCCTTCCAACAGCCCCCCCCAATGCACCCGAGGTTACCTGGCACTTTTGTCTATTTCCAATCTCCAGGAGGATAGCTACATGATTTTCGTCAGGTTCACCTTCTTATTTAGCTTCTCTAGGATCACGAATAATAGGCTCAAAGACCTTTAATTATGGTTAGAATCCACTTATGAGTGAATATATACCATATTCCTCTTTTTGGGTCTGGCTTACCTCACTCAGTAAAGCGTTTTCTATTTCCATCCATTTGCATGCAAAAGTCAAGATGTCATTGTTTTTTACCGCTGAGTAAAACTCTAATGTATATATGTTCCACACCTTTTTAAATCATTCTTCTATTGAGGGGCACCTAGGCTGTTTCCAGGTTCTGGCTATTACAAATAGTGCTGCTATGAACATAGTTGAACAAATGCTTTTGTAATATGTTAGGGCCTCTCTTGGGTATATTCCCAAGAGTGGAATTGCTGGGTCCTGAGGGAGGTTGACTCCCAGTTTCCTGAGAAACTGCCACACTGATTTCCACAGTGGCTGCACAAGTTTGCATTCCCACCAACAATGGATGAGTGTTCCCCTCATTCCACATCCTCTCCAGCATAGGCTCTCATTGGTGTTTTTGACTTTAGCTATTCTGACAGGTGTAAGATGATATCTCAAAGTTGTTTTGATTTGCATTTCCCTGATCGCTATTGGAGCACCAGACGGAGCCCTCCACGGTCCAAATGAGGAGCAGAAGGATGAAGAAACTGAAAAAAGAAATCAGGACTGCGATGGGCGCCATCACCCACTGATACAAGGGGACTGATCTAATGAGAGTTCACCAAGGCCAGCTGGACTGGAACTGAACGAACACGTGATCTAACCAGATTCTCTGAATGTGGCCAGATTCTCTGGATGTGGCTGGCCCGGAGTCTTTCTGAAAAGCCATTGACAATGACACTGGGACTTGTTTCCTCTGCATATACTGGATTTTTGGGATCCAGTCTGTTTGGATACTCACCTTCCTGGACCTGGAGGGAGGGGGGAGGAACTTGAACTTCCCACAGGGCAGGAAACCCTGACTACTCTTAGGGAGGGAGAGGGAGGAGGAGGGGGAGTGGGGGAAGTGGGAGGGTGTTGGGAGGAGGGGCGGAAATGGAAACTTTTATAATTTAATAAACTTAAAAAAATTCTTCTCATATAATAGATTCTGAGCATGCTTTTCCCTTGCCCAACTCTTCCCAGATTCTTCCCACCTCCTTATCATCTAATTCTCATTGGTTGTTGCATTCAGAATAGACTGTAGTATAACATGCAGCAAAAATGTTTAGAAATCCACCACAGGTTGGTCAAGGAGGTAGTGGTGGCTAGAGAGTACAGCCGATTTTAAGGTCAAACTGATGTCTCAATGAGTTATATGTGAGGGGTGAAATCTTTGATAAATCATGCTATAGCCAGAAATGCTGTTGTTACTACAGTTGAAACACAAAAGTTGGTGATCTAAGGAGCATTTGGTAGGGGAACTGGGGGAAGCCAGGACATCAGGCCTGTTACACTTTACTGTGGTCTTGAGTGCAGTGTCTCTAGCATGCATTGTCTCCATGCAGAAGGGCATCCACCTGAAGCACGACTCCATAGTAAAATAAGAAATACACTAAATTTCTGTTTGTTTTTAGGAGTCAAACATTCTCCTCATCCCTGCTCCTTCATTTTCATTACTAGTGACGTTGGTATGAATCATTCATGGTGTGCTTTCAAGTCACAGAAAGTCTCCGGAGGTTTGTGCTGAGCTCCCCCTGCAGCCTCAGGCGCTGTGTCACTCAAAGCACAAAAGTACTTGGCCGAGTCGCTCCAGTGGGCTGGGTTTTTCCTCAGGTTGAAGGAGGAGTTACTTTTCCCAAACTCTGCCTGAAAGCCGTTGATGCCTTTAACAAGAGTGTTTCCTGAAAAGTATTTGAGGAGAAGCTGGAGGCTCTGGCCAGGATACTGGACGTACCAAAAGAGGTAAGGTGTTGCACCATAAGAATAGCTGCATTTGAGCTCTAGTGAGGCTCCTTCAGAGACGGTGAGGTGAGCATCAGGCTGGACCACTGACTGGGCTCTGTTTCCTCCTGAAACACCAAAGCACCTTCAGTAAGACCAGGACACACCTACCTGTAAGGGGAGTATGCCCCTTATGTAGATCCTGGCTAGAAAAATGTTCCTTTCGTGGAAACAAGGCAGGGAATGAAATAATACTTACTCAATGAGAGGAACATGCTCAGCAGCAGAATGGTCAGTGGGAACATGGCTAGGCAGGAGAAGGCAGGAAGATGTATTCTGCAAAATCTCGCTGAGCAGGAATGAGTAGAACATGGGTTGAAGAGCTCTTGTAGACAAGGCTTGGAGACTATTAACCGAGAGAGGCTCCCTTGGCAACGACTGCTGTAGCGCCCTTTCTCCTCACAACTGCACCTCTGAGAGCTGTGAGATAAAAAGACTCTCACACAAGATATTGTTCAGTGTCGACCTTCAGTCTATGCAACATTGCTGCCCTCTGGAGGCCAAAAGTGGAAATAAATTGTCTAAATTTTTTTTTTTTTTCATTTTCTTTTTGGTTTCTCTGTGGCTTTAGAGCCTCTCCTGGAACTAGCTCTTGTAGACCCGTCTGACCTCAAACTCACAGAGATCCGCTTGCTTTTGCCTCCCAAGTGCTGGCATTAAAGACATGTGCCACCACAGCCCAGCGGGTTTATTTTATTAAGCAGTAAAATCTGGCGAGAATTAAGAAGATAATTAAACTTTATGAATTAAGTATTAAGTAGTAGTAGTATTTAATCTTATGAACTAGAGAATGCTATTATTCCCATTTTATAAATGGGAAAGCTGAAGAACGGAAGAAAGGGTGTGTCGCAGTAAGCGACAGGCCTGGAGTTTCTCTCATGACTGTGACCCAAGAAGCCTCATCAGCAACGACTGACGACTGCGCATGTCTATTACCGCCTCTCTTGCAGCTTCAGTTGTCCTGATACAACGGATGGGAAAGCGAACCTTTATGGGCTAAATAGCCTTTGTATGCACACGTGGGTGTTCGGGCTCTCTACTGAAAACTCAGTTCTTCTCCCAATTCGTTTCCTAAAATGGCACTACTGTTATTTCTTTCTATTGCATGTCTTAAGAGTGAGGGAAGAAAAAATGTCAACAGTGAAGCTAACCTTGGTAAAAAGCATGGGAGAATTCCTCTGCACGGGAGGAGAAGCCTACCGATGTGACGGACAAAGGGAACAGGATTAATTGCCTTCTGTGTAAGGTTCTAAGTAAATTAACTTTACTTATATGTTTTAAAGAGCAGTTGAATGGGGAGGGCCTGGCAAGTGTTTCCAAATGAAGATCTTTGGGAGGAAGGCAAAACTATTGATACCAGAGTCATGGAGGAGCAGGACAAAGCCACCAGTACCAGATTCAGGGATGAGGAGGACAGAACCAGCAGTACTAGAGTCAGGGAGGAGGAGAACAGAACCAGCAGTACTAGAGTCCCAGAGGAGGAGGAGGACGGAACCACCAGTACTAGAGTCCCAGAGGAGGAGGAGAACAGAACCACCAGTACCAGAGTCTCAGGGGAGGAAGACAGAACCAGCAGTACTAGAGTCAGGGAGGAGTAGGAGGACGGAACCACCAGTACTAGAGTCTCAGGGGAGGAGGACAGAATCACCAGTACTAGAGTCCCAGAGGAAGACAGAACCACCAGTACGACAGTCAAGACAAAACTGTCAGTCAAAGCCTTGTTTCAGCAGACAGTATCTCCTAGGAAGGAAATGTTAGTCAGAGCATGAGAGTACAATACTGTATTTAATTAAAAGATACACTGATATTTATTAAGGAAACAATGAAGAAAGAACAAAATAATTGGTGGAGGACCCAAAAATATCAGACAGATAGGACTCTGCTTAGAGTTGAGGAAATGCCAAACTAGAGCCTAAAGATAGTGATGTTATTTTTTTTTAAAATCAGGAGTGATTAATTATTTTTTAGGTGCTTTGGGGAAAATATACAAGCAAGTCTTTGAGCTTACCAGTATTATTTATAAAGCTGTTTAGAACTCATTTCCATTTCCTAATGCTTATAATTTTGCTAATTTATCTTTTATAGTGGAGTGATTTATACTACTAAACATACAAAGAAATGAAATGAAGAAGAGAAGGGAGGAAAATCTAAGTGGGACGAAATCTCAAGACAAAGGAAAACACATTTTGAGAGTGCAGAGAGCCAGTACTGTGGAGGAGAGAAGTGTGATCTAGGAACCCAACCACTGAGCACACATTCTGAGGGGATAAAATATACCAAATCCGCACGGACAGGGACATTGTGATGCTCTTCACAATAGCCAAGAAATGGACACAACCAAGGTGCCCCTTGATACATTAATGGGTAAATAAATTTTGGTAGATACACAAAGTAGAACATTATTAACCCATAGAAAGAGTGAATGAGACCAGAAGATCCATCCATAGGGGTGAGTGGGTGCCAGACCGACCGGCTGGACCCCCAGAAATGGAGCACAGGCACCCTCCATTCCCCTAACTTTCTGGCTATTCGGCTGGGGCTTCTCTCCCGGCTACTGCCTTTCTCTTCTTAACCCATCCCAGCTTGCCCCCAAGCACCCCTTTCCATCTGCAGGGTCATAGGATCCCCCAACTCAGCCTGCTTCGGGGCTGAGGGTCTGGAGACACAGTGGTGAGTGCAACTGCTGCAGGAGTTTCTTTGTCCCACTGAGCCTGAGCCTAGCAAGCCGGCCCTTTGGTCTGCAAGGTCCCTGGCCAGCAAGTGGCCCTGATCCTGTACCAGAGGGGAGGAAGTGTAAATTTTTGAATGGAAAAATAAAAATTAAAAAAAGAAAGAGTGAATGAATCCTGTCATTTGTACCAACATGAATTGAATTTGGGGGCCACAATATGTGAAATAACCAGACACAAAAAGGCAAAAACTGCTTATTTTTCATTATTTGGAGGTGCTAAAATCTGATTTCAGAATAACTGAATAGAACTGTGTTTATTTGAGACTGGGGAGGGGGAGGGTTGAAGTGGTGAGATACCAGGTGTCAGAAAACAATAAGTAGGAAGGACTGGTTTTGATGCTCTGTAGGAGCTGGCTACAGCTTGCAGGACTCAAGAAACATCTCAAGATTAAAAGACAAGACACTGCAGACTGCAGTCCAAAGAGATGATAAAATGCTGAGGAGTTACAAGCGTTTATTTTCACTATTTGATCATTACACATTTCGTGTGTGTGTGTGTGTGTGTGTGTGTGTATTTAACTATTACCATATACAACATGGATATGTGTAGATGTGATCCTGAAAGTTTTAGAAAGGAATATTATACTTTGAGTGGATAAATTGTGTTAATAATATATTAAGAAAGTATCACTTTTTTAAAAATGATGCCTTTAAATACTTTAATTCTGTAATACTTGTGCTAAGGTCTGGGGCCCTACTATAATCTGGGTGCCTGTTATAAACTGTATTATACAGTGCTCCCTACAGTTGCTTATTTTCTCTATACACAGTTACTATTGCTCCCATTTATAAGGATATTTTTACAATATGAAAAGGAAAGAACAATAGGCATAAATTATTAACAGAGAAAGGGTGAAGGAGAGAAAGAGTAAGGGAAGAAGTGAGGGGAGAGAGAGAGAGAGAGAGAGAGAGAGAGAGAGAGAGAGAGAGAGAGAGAGAGAGAGAGAAAGAGAGACAGAAACAAAAACACCAAAGACAAAAGACAAATCCAAACATGTTTTCCGCCTTGCGGAATCCTGCTGAGACTTATTTGCAGGACTTACCACTTCTTCCCACCAAAATTCACCATGTAACAGGGCACTCTGTCATCGCCTGCCAATCCCTCTGAGCCTTCTCATGTTGCTGTCTGTCCCAGAAAGCTACAGTTTCCCCAAACACAGTGCCTACTACACCAGGCTTCAAATCAGTTTAACCTATGAACACTAGAGGGCAGAAAAGTCAGCGTAAAGTTACAAAGGACGTCAGCCAAGTGCTTCAGTAAAGATCTACTTCCTTCCTTTCCCCTAGAGTGGAGTTTGCTACAATCCGATTCCCACAGAAGCAAAACAGACCAAAAGGTCATGTTTGGGCGAAGTTGTACAGAGGCGATGAACACAAGCCCTGCTGGGGAACCGTACTTTTAATCTGTCCGTCAGGTTCCTGATACTTCCTGGCGCAGGAATGCAGGACGATGCCACAGATGCTCAGCTTTGTCGGCAGGTTAGCGCTTAAGTTTTTAAAAATCTGTTCGTCCTTAGCTCAGACCCAGAAAGACAAGCATGGTGTGTACTCACTTATACGCGGACATTAGCTGTTAGGTAAATAGTAGTTATTCTGCAATCCACAGACCCAGAAAGGCTAAAGCACTAAGAAGCACACATGGAATTTCTTGAGAAGGAGAAATAGAATAGATTTTGCTGATGGACTGGGGATGTGTGGAAATGGGAACAGGAGGGATCAGGATTGGGGACAGGGAGGGACAGGTTATGGAGAGGAAAGTATAACTGGAATTGGGGGTGTTTGGGAATGACATGGAAACCTAGTTCAGGGGAAATTCCTAAGAGTCTACAAAGGGGACCTTAGCGAGGACTCCTAGTAATGGATGTGTTGGGATATTGGAGACTCAGAACTTGTGGGAGTGGCCAAGCAATAACTGATCTAATTTGAATCCCACACCATGAAAGAGAGCACATGTCTGATGCTGCCTGTTTGACGAGGAAATGGAGGCTGGATAGCCCAGAGGCTTAGGATAGAAAAAAAATCAATGAAATGATTCCTAAGGATATTTTACTATACTCATAGGCCAGTGCCTAGCTCATTCGTCATCAGAGAGGCTTCCTCCAGCAGCTGATGGGAGAGAAAAAACACAAATAGGAGATCTCCATCGAGTCTTTTCCCTTGGATCTTGGGGAACCCAGCAGAAGACTGGGAAAAAGAAGGCCAATAGCCAGAAGGATGGAGGACACCAGGAGAACACCACAATCAACTAAGCACTTGAACGCTAAGTGTTGTTGAGGGAGGTGCATGAGGATGGTACCAAGTTTGCTAGTGAGCACTGTGGTAAATTTGTATCATTTTAACCACCTGGCAACACCTCCCAGAATTTGCTCCGCTATATGGTTCTGTGTCAGGACTGACCATGAGAGAAAATGTGCAAGATTAGAAGGTAGGTGCCGGCAGCAGCCATCACAAGTTGGCTCTGCAGATTGGCCTGGTCCAGGTGCTCTAGGGCTCACATATGTGGCTGTCAATTTATCAGTTCCTTTTTCTTTTTCTTTTCATTCCCTAGAGATGGAGATTAATTCAAGGCCTTGTGCATGCTAAGGGAACACTGTCCTTAGCTACAGGCTTAGCCTATCCTCTTATTAAAGCTTCCCCCACCTCCCACTATGCCTCCTTGTTTAACTTCTCTTGGTCTTAGACCATGTGCACATGTACAGTGATGCCAAGTAACTGCTTCTCACACTCATCCTCCAAAAATATTGAAGGAAGCGTGTCCTTGTGGATGCAACTGTCCTCA